ATAAGTATATTTTTGGGGTAAAAAGGTCTCAATGCGCAATTTTTAATGGCCATGTGCAACTAAAGAGCGTGTATGGAAGAAGATGGTATGTTACCCCGCAAAATATATCCAGGTACCAGCCTTGGAGAGCCCGAGAGAGCCCCTCTAGTTGGAGATATGGAGATATTCTAAGGTTGGCACCGGCTTCTCAATCACCGGGCCGGTGACATTTGATAAAGATTTGCATCAAATTGCAATTGGCCTTAGTCAAACTTGTCAAACCCGTCAAACTAACCCCCCTAATGGCGAAAATCCCCCGGACCGAAACAGCCACCAGTGGATCTGAATGAAGGTAGTCGATCACGATGCGATCTGGGGGGGACACTATTCGGGCTGGAACGTCGAGAATGAGGCATTTAGTAGGATAGAAAGTGAAAAAAAAAAATTCAGTTCGGCGCTTTTTCATCCTAGCCGAGTGGATTCTCCATGACACATTGCATTCCACGATGTTCGATAGAGATCACATCATTTCCTGTATACATCATACATCGACATACTAAGACATCTCAGGTGACACTATATTCTCTCTATTTTCAGTTCCACAATCTCTTTCAGGTCACCTGCTTACCTCTTTTTTTTGCCCCTGTTCCTGTAGGGCGCCTCAGCCACGTTCCAGGCCTTGAGGCAATTTTTTCTCATATCGGCCCGCATGACGCAGCGGGATTTTTCCTTCGGCCTGAGAGCTCGGAAGGAGGGGAGGTGAGCTCCAATCAGCGTGCAATGCATCGCCGGCTCTTAGTCAAAAGTGGACAGAGAATGACCGTTTTGGGAGGCCCCAAGGTGGAACTGCGGACCTCAATGGACCTCGAGACTCTATACGGTTGAACCTCCCGCCTACCATCGGTTATAACTGGTCAAGGGTGTTGCGGGACATATGTAATAAAATAAAATCAAGATATTAATAGAGATTAATGAGAGTTACTATTAAAAAGTTGAGAATCAAGTTTTGTATATAAAGTCCAGGGTTCCCCGGATTTTGTGCTTCTGATTCCAAAAAACCCATTCCCTTTGCTCATCACCTTCAGTCCATGGCGACGATCGGTGATCATTGTATTTGCCAGTAAGTCTCCTTCTTGCCTCTGTCTCCTTGCTTGTTATCTCGACTTGCCAGTCGAGATAAGAACATTCTTTGTGTCTCTTATCTCCCAACACGTGCCGCAGTCGATGATCCATCCCAGCTCATGCTCTCGTCCTATATAGCTTCTTTCATCTTCTCACTATTACGTGTTAAGAGGTTTACCTCACATACTCAATCATGTCGTCTCCCGCATCTACCCCACAGTCGGAGACTCCCAATGGCCATAGCGTGAGCTTGCCTGCTCGCCCTCTGCCTAAGGCCTATACAAGCCAAGATGGAAGCTCCGGCTCCGGCACCCCCATCGGTTTCCAGCGCTATCCCCCCCACAACAAGCACTTGGACCATGCCGTTGGAAGTGCCTTGCGACAACCGTCCCCGGAGCCCACTCACTTGGGCATTCCCGGTACCCCGCACCGCGTACTCTCTGAGGAGGACCCGGGCTACATTGCGGCTACCTTCGAGGGCAAGCAGAAGCAGATGGAACAAGGTCAGTAGAATTGATTGGCGATATTGGGATGATACAATTGGCTAATTTCCAGCAGTCATGGACATTTTGGAGGAGAAGGGCTTCTTCCCTAGTGACTTTGTCATCTCCGAAACCACCTGGTTCTATAACAAGCTTGGTATCGACGATACCTACTTCCAGACCGAGACAGTGGATGCCATTGTGACCCAGATCCTATCCCTATATGCCGCCAAAGTCGCCGCCTATGCCCGCGATGATAAGCAACTGGAGATTCGTCTAGACAAAGAGGCCGAGGACCATGCTGTCTATATCGATACCAGCAAGCCCGGTATGGCTTCTATCAATGGTCCACGCTACGAGGAGCGCATCGATGAGAAGTACGTCAACCACTCCAAGGGTGCCAACAGCTACCGCGTGGAGACCTTCCGCTCGCCTAGCCCTCTGCCGGGCGACAATGGCCAGCAGCTCCGCTGCTATTTCGTGTATAAGTGCCAGTTCGCCAACCCCAACCCCTCACCGAATGAGACCAATATCGATATCATTGGCGAGAAGCGTTTCTTGCAGAAAGCCACCCCCAACACCAAGGCGATCTATCAGGAAATCATCACGACGGCTGTTGGTCGGTCCGGTCCTGTCATCGAGATGTTCGAGATCGAAGGAAGCCGTGAAAAGCGTCTGGTGATTGCTTACCGCCAGGGATCCGCCATGGGCTTGTTCAGTGCTCTGTCGGATCTGTACCACTACTACCGCTTGACCAGCTCGCGCAAGTACCTGGAGAGCTTCTCCAACGGAATTACTGTGATTTCGCTCTACTTGCGTCCTTCGGATAACTCAGAAATCTCCACCAAGGTCCCTCCCATCGAGGCTGCTATCCACCAAATCATGAAGGAAGTCTCCCTTTTGTACTGTATTCCTCAGAACCGCTTCCAGGGCCACTTCGCTACTGGTCGTCTCAGCTTGCAGGAGACAATCTACGCTCACTGCGCGTGGGTGTTTGTACAGCAGTTCCTTAACCGTCTGGGTTCAGAATACACTTCGTTGTCTGCTCTTCTGGACAGCAACAACAGTGTCCACGCAGAGTTGCTCTCAAAGATCAAGAAGCGTCTGCGCACGGAGACGTTCACTGCTGATTATATCTTTGAGATCATCAACAAATACCCCGAGCTGATCCACAAGCTCTACCTTGACTTCGCCAACACCCACTACGTTCAGACTCACGAGTCTGGTGATGACTTCCTCCCCACCCTCAGTTACCTGCGCTTGCAGGTTGACGAGGTCCTCGACGGCGCCAAGCTGAAGCAGCTCATCCGTGGCACCGCCATGAACGAGCACGACGAGATGGTTATGACCTCCTTCCGCGTGTTCAACTCCTCCATCCTCAAGACCAACTTCTTCACCCCGACAAAGGTGGCTCTCAGCTTCCGCTTGAAGCCGGACTTCTTGCCAGAGCACGAGTACCCCCAGCCCCTCTACGGCATGTTCCTGGTCATCAGCTCCGAGTTCCGCGGTTTCCACCTGCGATTCCGTGACATCGCTCGTGGCGGTATCCGTATCGTCAAGAGCCGAAACGGCGAAGCATATAACATCAACGCTCGCTCGTTGTTCGATGAGAACTACAACTTGGCCAACACCCAACAGCGCAAGAACAAGGATATTCCCGAAGGCGGTGCCAAGGGTGTCATCCTCTTGGATGCTGACCACCAAGACAAGGCGCGGGTCGCCTTCGAGAAGTACATTGATAGTATCCTCGATCTGCTCCTGCCCCCGGTCAGCCCCGGTATCAAGGATCCGATCGTTGATCTGCACGGCATGGACGAGATCCTCTTCATGGGTCCCGACGAGAACACCGCTGAGCTTGTCGACTGGGCCACCGAGCACGCTCGCAGCCGTGGCGCTCCCTGGTGGAAATCTTTCTTCACTGGCAAGAGCCCCAAGCTGGGTGGTATTCCCCACGACGCTTACGGCATGACCACCCTCTCGGTCCGCCAGTACGTGCTTGGAATCCAGCGCAAGCTCAACATCGATCCCTCCACACAGCTCAAACTGCAGACCGGTGGTCCTGACGGTGATCTTGGATCCAACGAGATCCTTCTCTCCAATGAGAAGTATGGAGCCATTGTTGATGGATCCGGTGTGATCTATGACCCGAATGGTCTGAACCACGAAGAGCTTATCCGCTTGGCCAAGAAGCGCGCTATGATCTCAGAGTTTGACACAGCCAAGCTGTCCCCCGAGGGCTACCGCATCCTGATCGACGAGAAGAACATCAGGCTCCCTAGCGGCGAGGTTGTCCACAACGGCATGGTCTTCCGTAACACATACCACCTCCGCTCACAAGAGAATTTCGACGTGTTCGTGCCTTGTGGTGGCCGCCCCGAGTCCATCGACTTGTCCACCGTCGGCAAGCTCATCAAGGACAACAAGTCGATCATCCCCTTCATCGTCGAAGGTGCCAACTTGTTCATCACCCAGGACGCCAAGCTGCGCCTCGAGAAGGCCGGCTGCATCCTATACAAGGATGCCTCTGCCAACAAGGGTGGTGTGACATCTTCCTCTCTGGAAGTCCTAGCCTCGCTGTCTTTCAATGACGAGGAGTTCGTTGAGAACATGTGTGTCCGCGAGGATGGCACCGTTCCCGAATTTTACCAGGCCTACGTCCGCGAAGTGCAAGAGGTGATCAAGTCGAACGCCGCCTTCGAGTTCGAAGCCATCTGGCGCGAACACCAACAGACTGGTGTGCTTCGCAGTGTACTCAGTGACCGTCTCAGCTTGGCCATCACTAAGCTTGACGAGGAACTCCAGATGACCCAGCTCTGGGACAATGTTGCGCTCCGTCGCTCTGTGCTTGGCGATGCTCTCCCGCGTCGTCTGTTGGACAAGATCGGTCTGGAGACCATCTTGGAACGTGTATGTCTCTCCCTATCTCTTTTCTATCTTATATTAGAACCCCCGCTAATAATTCCCAGGTCCCTGAGAACTACCTCCGTGCCATTTTCGGCAGCTACCTGGCCAGTCGCTTCGTGTATGAGTACGGCAACCAGCCCAGCCAGTTTTCCTTCTTCGACTTCATGACCAAGCGCCTGGCTAAGCTTCAGTCGTAAGCTGTTGGAATTAAACATTCCTGTTGCGAAAGCGCTGGTTTTGACCCTGTTTTGACATTATGTTTCCTTTTTTTTTTCACGAGAAAGACTTCCCGGAGTCAACGAAATACTTAATACGGAACAAAAGAAGATCTGTTCCCTTGACGAATGTATGGTTAAAAAAAACTTTGGCGAGTGAGAGAAGAGAGAGGCCGTTAGGGCAATATGATTCTTTAGAATCAAAAATTCTTACCCATTGGAATTAGCAGTTTAATCCTACATCTCTCTCAACACGTAAATTCCATTATATTACACCAATCAATCCCCTTCCCCCATCTTACCTCCATTTATTCTGAGACGACACAGTCTCAGCCATAATCAACGCGATATTCACAGCCTACATGGCATGTCAGTATATCTTACCAAAAGGACCAACACCCTTGGGTAGCCCAGAAGCTCGTCCCGATCGAAACCAGCAAACTTACCAGTAACAAATCCACTCCCTCGGAAACCTCAACCTCCCACCTCGGCCTCGACTTCACTTTGGATTTACTGTATTCTATCACATTGTGTCGCGTGATATGCATGATCTTCTGATTACCCATCATCACACCCGTACCGGACCCAGCTAACTGCATCACTCTCAACTCGACTTTTGAGCCAGGGGGTGCATCGGCTTCTGCATTATGTCCTACAGGACCGGGACTGGAACTTTCATGGGAATTCTGCGATGATGAAGGAAACGGTGAAGCCGGCGCCGGCTCTTGCGGCGGCTCAATTGCATCGAGTAGATCTCGTATGGAATTAGGAGAGTTTTGTCGGACGGAGTCGTAGGAGGGGAGAATGGAGAGAGGGTGAGGATGGCGTGTATGACTCGGTGATGTTATTAGACTCTGAGCGGGGTGTGGATGTGAATTAGGGAGTGATGGATATCTCTCTTTCTCGTTCCTCTGTGCCACACCCACATCCCCCATACAACGACCATTCTCTTCTTCCCCAGTAACAGCACTATACGGCGGCGGCTCGTCCGGCACAGCCAATCTGCTTGTCTTTCCACTCTCGCTTCCTACAACCCCAGACCCTGACCTGATCGCAAGCGCATTCACAAAGCGCACTTCAAGCCTCACCCCACCCCCACCCCCAACTCTAGACCCAGGCCCATCGCCAGCCCATGGGATAGAAGCAACCAATAAATCTGCAGTCCGCTGATTCTGATCCGGAAGTCTGACACTCCACTTCCGGACGCTGGACAACCACGCGCGTCGTAATACGAGCAATGGCATGCCCTCCGCGTCGCAGACTACGCGGCTCGTGTTGGGCCATGGTTTCCCGAACACGGTGTAGAAGAGGACGGTGCGGTCTGGGCTATCGGGGGCTTCATGTGTGCGGATACGGTGAACTGTGTAGACGGGAGAGGGGAATTTGTCTTGGGATGATATTGTTAGGGTTGTGGCGGTGTTGGTTAGGAGGTCTGCGGGTGGGGAGAGGAGATGGTGGGGTTGAAGGGCTATTGGTGTTGCGGGGGATATGAGGGGGTTGGATTTGGATTTGGACATTGTATTTAGTAGGGTTGATGTTTAGGCTTATTGTAGGATTGTATAATTGTAGGTGCATATTTGTAGAGAGTTGGAGAAACCATGACGATGTGTCGGGAGTGCCGGATAAGTGCAGAAATGGCCACCAATTAGGACAACATGGAAGAAATAAAGGTGAAATTCCATTCATTTTCATTAAGAGTAAAATATCAATGTGATTGGAGCTTTTTTAAGCATCCTACCTTACGGATATAGCACATTGACTGATTGACCTGATATATACTTCGAACTACAGGGGCTAGACCTATATAATTCACCTCTCTCTACCTCTGATTTGTATAGGCTTAGAATCCCATGAAAATTTTCAAGGTGAAACCATGGTCCACCACATGCCAATGCTAGAGGCGCAGTCCAGACCAGAAGAAAAAATTCTGCTTGAAACTGGATTTGGGAGTGTCTAAGAGATCTGTATATGTGAAAACTATAGTTACAAAGAAATTTGTATGTCAGGTGTCAGGTGTCAGGGCAATTCCCACCTGTTGTATAAATCAACTGGTCAGGGGCCGAGTTTACGGGTATCTTTTTCCTATTTTGGGTCCGACCAGGAACAAACGCGTGTCCAACATAAATTTCACTAGCATCCAGGTTCTCCTCATTTTAGACAAAAGGAGTCCACCTCCCATTTCCCTTTAAAATGATGTCCGACCGTTTGTGGGGCGTTAGACCATTGTCACATTAGCCTCTCTGCGAGGTCTACTGAAAGAGGTCCATTCCCTTAAAATATTTCCCATCTAGAAAAGGCAAACAATCAATACACTTCCGTCCACTTTCGGATTCACGTGTTGCTGTGCACCATGTCGGAAAAGTTTCCACCGATCCTTCCCCATCCTTCTGCGGAGACAGCCGAGGAGAACCGAGCCGAAGAGAACGGCCACAATGTCAATACCAACACAGAAATCCCCCACTCAGACGAACCTAGCCTGAAGCCTAGCATATCAAATATCCAAAGATGGAGGACAGTAAGCCAGCGGGTACGGACTGGCGCTGCAACGATAGCCGAGAAGCTCGGACGACCTCCCGAAAGAGAGGCTGATGGCTTGGATTCGCCCATGTTACCAGAGCACTATGGAGCAACAGACGATATCCGAGGATTCGAGGCCCGGCAGGCAATCGACGAAGAAGCTCGCCTCCCACAAACAGACTATGATTCACAAGCTCGGCACTTGGTGGAACGGATGGGGGTACAGTCCGGGCCACAGCGTCCACGCATTGAAGAGCCGCGCTCCGGTTCGACGACCCCAGGAACTCCAGATGGGATGGCAACACCCGGCGGGCCACCGGGGGGACTCTTGTCACAATTGCTCCGTGTATACGCCAACAATCTCAGCACTGCGAGCCGGATGAGTGTTGTCTCGACGGCATCAGAAACAGACCAGGACACAGAAAGCTTCACACCATCCGGCACAGTGACACCAAGTGGAAAGAAAGACAAGTTGAAATGGTACAATAACGGCCATCACCCCGGCAAACCAACTCACAGATATACTTCCTCCCTCGTCAATGCATCCATGGATTTGGGCCGGGTCGGGGTTCCTGGAGCCACGGGTCCCCCACCCGTGAATCCCAAAGAGCAAAAGAAGCAAAAGCGCAAGAGGAAGAAAAACATCAAGCTCACCGTCCACATTGCCGCTATTCTTGCCCGCCAACAGTACATCATGCAAATGTGCCGCGCGCTAATGAAATACGGCGCCCCAACCCACCGCCTCGAAGAGTACATGATAATGACCTCCAACGTACTGGACATCAAAGCCCAGTTCATGTACATCCCCGGCTGTATGATAATGTCCTTCGACGACCAGCTAACCCGCACCGCGGAGGTAAAGATCATCCGCGTGGTCCAGGGGCTAGACCTCTCCCGTCTCGCAGAGACACACAACATCTACAAAAACGTCGTCCACGACATCATCAGTGTCGAACAAGCAACTCACGACCTAGACGAGATCATGCAACGTGAGCCACGCTACAACCGCTGGCTCCTCATCTTCCTAACTGGCTGCGCCAGCGTCGCCGTCGGCCCATACGCCTTCAGCGCCCGGCCCGTCGATCTCCCTATAATCTTCGTACTCGGCTGCATAGTAGGATTCATGCAGCACGTCGTCGCGCCAAACTCAGCCACTTACTCAAATGTGCTAGAAGTCACCGCCGCGGTCCTCACCTCCTTCATTGCACGCGCTTTCGGCAGCATCCAGTACAACGGCGAGCGCGTCTTCTGCTTCTCGGCCATGGCACAGTCCTCCATCGCAATGATCTTGCCGGGTTTCGCCGTGTTAAGCAGCAGTCTTGAGCTACAGTCGCACCAGATGAACGCGGGCTCAATCCGACTTGTCTTCACGATCATCTACTCGCTCTTCCTCGGGTACGGCGTTACCGTCGGTACGACGATCTACGGGCTGATGGACCACAACGCGACGAAGGAGTCGACGTGTTCGAATCTGCCGGAGGTCTGGGGGAACGAATATATCCAGCACTTTCCCTTCGTCGCACTGTTTTGTCTCTTCGCAGCGCTGATTAATCAGTCGAAACCGAAACAGTTGCCGGTTACGATCTTTATGGGTGTTTGTGGCTACGTCACGAACTACTTCAGCACGAAGAAGCTCGGCTCAAACCAGGTCGCTAATACTGTTGGCGCGTTTACAATCGGCCTTCTGGCTAACTTGTATAGTCGACTGTGGCATGGTCATGCGGCTGCTGCTATTATCCCAGGTATCTTTACCCTCGTCCCGTCGGGTCTTGCGTCTAGTGGGTCGATTATCTCTGGCTTGCAGTATGCTGAGGCTGTTGCGTCTGGCAATGTCTCTAATGCTGCTACTAGTGCGACATCTAATAGCTCGCTTACCTCACTGGGATATGGTATGATCCAGACGGCTATTGGTATTTCCGTTGGGCTGTTTATCTCCGCTTTGATTGTTTACCCGCATGGGAAAAAGAGGAGTGGAATCTTCAGTTTGTAGATGTGGGCGTGCATTTGTTTGATTCAACGATATATCTTGTTTGTTTTATATTGTATCATTTGCATTAGCGTCTTTATTTCCGATAGAGCGGATAAATCGTTTCATTTAGGACAGTCGAGAGAGAGCACAAGACCCTGCACGAGGATCGGGAGTACAAAATTGAACTCACTCTTGACGCAGCCGTCGATATGGTCGCCAACGACCACCATTCAACTAGGAGATACAAACAGAAACACTCCAAGCCGACTGATGCGAATGACGGACGTCGAGGGGTATTATATTGAATGCGCGGACACGACAGCGAAAGAGAACGGCAAAGTCCATGTGACCCCCGAAAACGGGTTTCAAAAAACACATCAGCTTTGATTATGACCCCGCCAAGAAAAAACCTTGTGAGAGCAGTAAGGACCCAAAGCCAAAGAACGAAGACAAAGACGCTGAAACCACGGAGCAAGGCAAAGCCCCAGCCAATATACCCGTGACCGAGTCTCAGGTAGACGTAGTCGCCTGGGTTAAACCACTTCCGCATGTGTGCTTTATCGTAGTAGTTCTTCGGCCATTGCCGCGTAGGCCAAACTGTATTTGGCATCTAGGCGGATAGAAAGGTCCTGCTCTGTTGTGAAGGCTTGTCGCATCGTGTCTGTGGGGTAACGGAGCTCCACGCCGTACATCAGAATTCGTGTAAGGTGCAGGGTCTCAGAGTGCCTTTTTCTATTTCGTGTAGCCTGCAAACGAACAAGACCAGGCCTGTTTCATTGCCCGTCTGCCTTAACTTTCATATTTTACCTCACACTTAACATCTCCTATCTTTATAACTTAAATTAAGGTGAGTTCAAAGTCTATGCTATTTGAAATAAAAGGACAGCTCTGATATCATATACCTACATACGCCTCGAAGCGAAACCTGCTAGATCCATCTCCGGCCTTTTTTAATCGAAGATCAGAGTAAAGGGCTAAAACTTCCCAACAATGGGAGCTGGTTGAAAAGAGGATTGTTTTAGGTTGATATCTCAACTTGCTCACCACACCTTCCTCTCAGCAACTCTCAAACAAGGCTACAAATCGGCAGTCCGTTCGAAACCTTTTCAATTTCGGCCACTCCGCCAGCCTCAGGCGTCCTAGTCCTACTCCGAGCCCCCAGCAATGTGGTCGAAACGAGGCCTTCATCACAGGGATAAGCTAAGCCAAATCCGATACAACACCCTACGGATGGTGTGGCATTTGCCAAGAGGTTCTCCCATATCAACGAGCATCAACTACGCCGGACTGCGGAGGAACCGGGATATACCTGCCTCCGATGGTTCACGGGGCTGCACTCGTAAATACCGTGGTACCCGATAAGATGAGGTTGTAAGCCTTCCAAAACAAGTCTTTTTCGGTTCGTCGAGTCACTCAGCTGCTTTTATAGCATTCGAGATTCATTCACTGCATATTCTGTCTATTGACGCTTGTCCAGCCTCATTCTCCACAATATTAGGTCTGCAGCACGTGCGTTTTTATATATAATTTTAGTAAGTTCATTCTTTTCTTATCTATGTGGTGTGTCTCTGTTGATGACCATTGCTGATTCATTATTTAGAAGAAGTGGAACAATATATATCCTGGTGCAAGGAGCAATTCACAACAGCCTCAACCTCACAAAGTGGGCTTATATTGCCTCAGAACCCCCACAGATGACCTGACCGAGGAGCCAGCTGGCTCAGCCTAATCTCGAAGTACGTCGTTTGGAATGATATCCAGAAGAGATTCAGTGCTTTGGATCTTGAAAACCTCCAAAGATAGGACCGACAAGTGTAGATTACCACACGCAGTTTAGTTGATAGGAATCATGTTTTTATTCTATGGGTTTAAATCTTAACATGCAATACAAAGCAAGGTAAAACACCATATATCCACGACTTAAACCTCCAACAACAGGTTGTCTATGTTTCATTCCCCGATTTAGCTCTGTGACAGTCTCTTCCCACACCCGAGCTTGATCTCCTGACCATCGCCACTCTTCCCATACCCTGAAATAGAGGACCTTACAACCACCCAAATATTTACCATCCGAGCTCTCGTCAGCCAATATTGCCGCATGAACAAGGTTCAGACACCCGTAGAGACAGATCGACCCACAACCCTCTTCATACTAGAAATGACCTTCCGCTGCGGATAAGCTCTAGGAAAAAGAGCTGGCAGAGTAGCTTCAAAGTGTAGTATCGATCACCCATGTCAAAATGTGTCTTATCATCCAGGACCTTGATGAGAGGAGTACCATTCGTAGTAGAGACCCGGACTTTGAACTTCGCCCAGGTAGCAGTTTCGCTACTTACAATTGAGGTCACAGGACGGGGATGTGTAGGATTGGCTGCATCCTGTTTGTTGAGCATAGGAAAGAGAAGCAGAGTAAGCAGAGCAGTGCTCAGCCAGTATATCTGGATACTCAACCCGTGGGATGTCGATGGAGTCTGGGTATAGTTGAAGTTGGCAACACCGGGGTCGAGAAGGGCAAAGTCGATGTAGATACTAAATAGCTGGAGACGCCTCACGAAGCTAGTAACACTGCCATAATCTCCCAGTCTAGCCCCCATACTTTGACCACGGGAGGCTTGGTAGACTTGGGAAGGGAGGCGAGGAGGGAATTGCGAGCAATCTCGCTTTTATAAAGGCCGCGTACAGCTAGGATGGGATGAGTGAGACCAAGCTTTAGTAGCTGCGCTGGGGCTTGGTATCCTAGACCAGTGTTTGAGCCTGTAACTATGCCGGTTTTGCCTTGGAGAGAGGTGGTGGATGGTGCCCTAGGAAGGCACACTAGGAAGGAACCGGAGGTATAGGAAACCGAGAAAAGAATTGTAGAAAGAAATGTTGGTGTTATTGCTAGAAATAAGAGTAGATAATTGTAAGAATTCATTGCGAGAAGGCTAGATAGGGTATAAATAGTTGAATGGCATAACTACCTCCAGGGCTTTATAGAAAACCCGACGGTGCCGTTCTCAACTGTGATTGGGTAGTCGGGCTTAACTATGATGTCCGAGAAATCGACGGTGCGTTTCTCTCATCTCACATCTCGTCTTCCTACACTCTTGATTCTTGATTATGTTCTCAGAGATTATCATGGAAACACTCCCTCCATACCAGTTGCTACGCTATCTCCCGACCCATCAAGTTTTGATTTGTTTGCACTGCCGCTATGCCATTCAACCAGGGGCTATCGTCCGCCATCTCAAAGAGATCCACCATTTAGATCGTTTGCGACGTCGAGCATTTGTCGATTATGCGGCTCAGTTTGAGTTAGCACCAATATATTCTGTAGTCTTACCAGACGAGACCGAGTTTCCGGTGGACTTGTTACCGATTCACAGCGGGCTGGTCTGTCGCTTTGAGGGGTGCGCTCACCTATGTGCTACTCTCAAGCGAATGAAAGCGCACCAGTCATCTGTGCATTGTAACAGTACCAGCAATGATAAAAGCTGGTGCTCAGTGCCGCTGCAGACCTTCTTTCGGGGAAATGCCTTGCGCTATTTTACAAACCCAGCGCTCTTGGCGTTGTCGACTGATAGTCCAGAAGAACCGATGAGCGCAAGTGAGGAATCTCCAATAACTGTAAGTAGAAAAAGCAATATTGGGCAGTCAAATCCTTTAACTGTTATTTGCAGACTATCACTACCCCAGATTCAGATGACGAGCAAAGGATGTCAAGTCTATCTACCTATGAAAATAACGTATCGTTGTACGCCAAGAACATGCACCTCTTCAACCATTATCTAAACTCCACATATAAAACGATATCATGTGGCCCAGATACTGACAGTGTCTTCCGGATTATTGTCCCCAAATTAGCCGCCCAATTCCCATTCTTGCTTCATGGCATGCTAGCCTGTTCGGCGCTCCACTTGGCTTCCAGCAACCCCCTGAACCAAAGATCATACATGTTCCAGGCGATCCACCATCAAGACCAAGCACTTCCAGCATTTCACTTGGCAACTATGCAGGTCGACACGAATAATTGTCAAGCAATACTGGCCTATGCATTCTTCCTTGTCATCTATGGCCTAAGCTCCGAAAGTGAAGATGAGATATTGTTTCTCGGTAATGAAGGGGAAGCAATATCCCCTTCGAACTGGATTAGTCTTTTGCGCAATGGCTGCTCCATGCTGTGTGATGTCTGGTCTGAACTAACACAGGGGTCATTGGCGCCATTCGCAGCAATATGGCGGGATGATCTCGGCTTCACTGCAGACCCGAGTGATCCATTACTTGTATCATTGTTGTCTGCCATGTCAGACTCAAGCGAAGTTGTTGATTGTGACCAGAGATTTTCGGATGATGATATGCATGTATACCGCGATGCAGCTCTCAGGTTGGCCGAAGCATTTGAGTTTACTCGACGATTTGGCGCGACCTTGAGTATTTGGGATGCTTTGAGCTCGTGGCTAACGCGGGTTTTGCCCGAGTACTTTGATTTGTTAGATCGTAACCACCCGGGGGCATTGCTACTCTTAGCTCATTACGCTGTCCTACTGAAGCCACTCCAGGCTGAGTGGTTTCTAAGGGGTCGGATTACGAAGCTGATGGATGAAATTGGGCGACGGCTGGAGGGGAATTGCTCTCTGGGCATATGGAATTCGTTTTTGATTGCCCATCAAAAATTTACTTCTTGATACTAGGGCTGGGGTTTGGCTTCACATTTTGTATCAAAGGACTGAAGGAGAAGAAGAAAAAGGAGGGGGTGGGGGGTTATACTCACAGTTGAGGACGTCGCACTTTCCTACATGGGTAGTTCTCAAAAGGAAGCTAGGAAATGACAATACAAGAAGCGGATTGAAATTCTGTTGAATAAGAAATTGCGTCCAATATCACTGAAGCAGACCGTGTACAACAGTTCATAATGTGACTGCAATTCTATCTAGTAATGGCAGAGCATAACAGGCCTAGTAAGGGCTACAGTAAAATAGGCAAATGAGGATAGGTAAAGAGAAGAACAGGAGACAAAGGAGGCAAGAGGGTGGTTAATGGACTGCAATTTCCCACTCTCTTTGAATTTGTATATGACCACCTCTAGGCTGTTTGCTTCTACATGTCTATATTAATAGTCTCCTCCCCCCCTGTGTATAGCTTTCTCCTCCAGACATGAGCGCAAAGATTTCCAAAATTCTCCAATCTCTAGCAGAGCTCCTGACCTCCATGCGTCTTCCCAAAATGGAGAAAGTGAAACAGGAAATAAAAACACTAGCTCTACATGTGCTTGAAAGCGATGGTGGTCAGTCCGATGATACCACATCCTTAACCCGGGCCGAAGATGCGGCAGCCCCCATCACCCCGAACAAACGGCAGGACATTGGCACACCTGCCCCGGCAAGGAAAAAGAAGACCGACCGCCCCCTCCCGGATTCGTACATCGTGAAACCCCGCCAAGGACCTTCGTATGACTACGCGTGGTATCATTCACCCCTGGAAGAGCCTGCTGTGTACCATATGAGTGACCCTGCAGCGGCGGTGACTGCATATGCGGCCATCAAGGCAGTGAACGAACGTGTGCAGTTTGATCTGCGGAACATGAAGTCCGTGCTGCTAGAACGTGGATTGATTGAGGACTCTGACTCTGGGTACTCCGACTTCAAGGACAAATATGCTATTTCTTCTAATGGCTACGTTGATGTTTTTGCTGGTGCGAAGTAGGCTCAGGTGCGTGCACGGATATGGGGAGATGGAGACAGAGTTAGTTTCTTACCTTTGGTCTTCTCGTGGGACCCATGGGGCCCCTTTTTGATAATTCTCGATGTTTTTCTTTTTAATTAGGTCTGGCCACTGGAATACAATGAACCATGTCTTTTTCTAATTTATCAATGTTTGTAGCCATGAACTCCTTCATCCCTCCTTCCGATGGTGGCGTACAAGGGGAAGATATTCCCATCTACAAGTCTCCATTTTTGACGTAGAGGCCAAATCCCTGTATATATCTACCTATATAGACCTAGGTCTTTCCAATATTACTTGGGATAGGGCAAGATTGAATGTTGATAAGGTCTATATATAGAAGCAGTCTGGGATTCCCTTTATAGTCGGGAGTTAAAAGGATATAAAGTCGCCTAATCTTATCTGTCTGGCTTGGGCCAATGGTGCAATGGCGCTTCCACGCTTGTTGGTTCAAAGAGAAGCGGCAAATCCGACAGCTGAGATGATACACGGGATTATGTGCGCCTAGGTAGCATCGGGCTAATTTCTCATTACTTCTTTCTCTTGTTTATGCAAGTCTCATTCTGTGCAGGAAACCCTATGTTCCCTGTACTTTTGTTGTCCAGGCCAAGATATTAAACCTCAGGCATCCACCAAGACTTGAAAGTTTTCCTTGCACATTATACTTCCTCTCTCCCCTATCCGGTTGTCTAGAGGGAAATTACTTTTAAGTTTCCGACCGTTTGGAGTCGAATTGGTCTAAATGAATCTGACCTGAATCGTTTCCACACGGCCCGCCATGTACTCCACTTTCTCCGCCAACTTCGATACGACGAATGCCTCCCGTGAGAGATCAGCGCCCATCACAGCTCCACGCCCTAAACGCAACCAGGTCGCTCGGGCTTGTGACTGGTGTCGGCTCAATCGTGTCAGATGCGATGACAAGCAGCCATGCCAGAACTGTCTGAATCGAGGAGGCACCTGTAGCAACACAAAGCCACAGGAGGCCACCTCGCTCCCAGCTGCAAACCGGTAGGAAATCTCCACCATCGGGATCACATCGTCATGGTAAATGGTCTGCTAAACCCATATCGAAAAACAAAATAGAGAAATGCAACGATTACGAACTAAAGTCAAGGACCTTCAGGATCAGATCGAGAAACTCAAAGATAGAGCGGAAATCCAAGTACAGACGGGTTTCGCGACGCCCCCACTGTCGGATGTTGCACGCAGCGCTTTTGACTTCGCGGAGCTCACCAATACTACGGAAGGATGGCAAGGTGTCCAGCAGACGGGGCAGATCCACTACGGACCCTTGTCATCCTCATATTTTGTCTCCCGAATCACCCGCCATCTCTCCGAAGCACTGGATGAACCATTGGAAAACTCCAAATTAGAGGCATGCGTGGCACGCTTTCATTATATTGCCCCGACCCATGAACCGTCTAGATGGGATGCAAGCCCGGCTAGCCAGGCAGATCAGAATCTAGACGGAAACGAAGTGGCCGAGGATCTGACTCGGTCACAAGAGGAACACTTTATCAATCTGCTCTGGCAGTCCTTTCATTGTGTCTATCCTATCCTCTCCGAACGCGAGTTCCAGCAACATTATGAGTCATTATGGTCCAGTTCCACGCCTGATGGAATACCTACGCGAAAGCCATCCGCCTTGGTCGATGTACTATTGGCAGTCTGTATGCAGTACAGCAGCACGTTCTTCGTCAGTGGAGACAACCAACATGAGGAATCGGATGCAGGATGGCAGGCCAAAAACGCGAATTTAACCAGTCGAATTTATTACCAGAGAGCCCAGAGGCTTCTGCAGAGCGAGCTCGAAAATCCAACCGTTATGCTCGTGCAGAGTCACATTTACTCGATCGTCTACTTGTACAATACCTCCCTGCTAAATACGGCGCATATTAATTTGGGTGCCACGCTGCGGATTGCCCACGCGCTGCGGCTGCATATCCGCCCGCTGGACGGGACCTCGCCCGAACAGCAGGAGCTACAGCGCCGGATTTGGTGGACGCTCTATCGGATTGATAGCCAGCTCTCGATGACCCTGGGTCGGCCGCCACTCATTCAGCTGTCCCATGTCAGCTGCGGGCTGCCCGGAGATGATCGCGAGCACGCCCGGCTATCCGGCACAGTCCTTCTCTCAAATCATGAGGACATCAGCTGGCTCAGCTTCCATGTCCAGTGCACGAAACTCACATTTCTCATTCAGGGAGTACAGACAGCATTACACCGGAAATGTTCCCAGTTGTTGAACGGGGATAAGTCGAAAGATATATATGATGACCAGCCCCTGCTCGAGACCTTGGCCGAGTTTCTGGAGTCGGAGATGACAGTTATCCATAACTGGGTTCAAAATGTGCCGCAGTCGCTGTGTAATCCTCGCAAGGGGGCGGGGGACCCCTTCTCCACCAATCGGGACGCGCTGAATCTGTCTCCGTATAGCCCGCTCTGGCTGCAGCGTCAACGCCTCTTACTAGAGCTCCACTATCACCATCTTGTGATCTCGACACTACGTCCCTTTATCAGATTCCCTCCCGTGAGCTCCTCCATAACCCCACGGACCGACGGTCACAATATCACCTGTTTGAATCACGCCATGGCGATCACCAGTATCCTAAACCAAGTATTGTCCGAAACGGATCTCTTACGTGGCTGGTCGCCCATCTTCCAGTACCAATGGGATGCCATCCTGTGTACTCTGGGATTTGTGCTCGCCAATGCCGTGTGCCCCCCGACGCCTTCTGCGCGTAAGTCGCTGCAGACGGCAGTTCGCACGCTGGACCTCGTGAGTGATCACTTCCTGGCAGCCAAAAACGCGGCGCAGGTCGTCCGCGAAGTCAGTTGCCAGGCCGATCGGCTCATTGCCAATGTCCAACAAGGTCTGACCAGACGACAAGTGCCGCGTGCCAGTCAGCCGTTATCTACCAGATCCCAGAATTCTAGGCCGTCGTCAAACCAGCCCTTGTTCGTCATGCCCGCACAACCTGGGGTCCAGGCTAACTTGCTCAAGCGGGCGCTGCCACCGACCACTCTGGAGGCGTCGTCCCATCAGCCAATGCCTAACTTTGAAGCGCGCATGCATTTAATTGACATGATGCCGATTGGGTCATTATCAGAAATATCTCCTTCTTTCGGGACGACGGAATCTCTGTCCGGTGTGATGCCCTCGGTCACATCTGCCGACATGGTCACCGGCACTGAAGCCCAGTGGCTACATGCAAGCGCGATGATAATGGACCCCTGGACAACTAACTCATGATTAGACATGTATTTCCCTTTACTGCTCTTGATTCTTTGGTATTGCTGCTTTCACATTTTGTCCGACTTGGAGTACAGCCTCTTTTACTCTAATTTATAGTCCGTAACCAGGCAGCGGGATCTGCTAGGTGGAGAGAAATAGAAAAGATACAAACTGGATCGGTAGCTTATTCATATACATATTTAAGTGAACTGAAATATTTTTTCTATTAAAAATATATGGTAGGCAACTTTGTATGTGGTTCTTATACTGGCCTCTTATTTGGGTAAGAGCAAAGGTTTCTGTTATATACGTTCGTAAAATAGCCTCCTATATCAAGTCGGCCTTGATAAGCCCCGATCGAATTCCCGCAGTCATTCGCACAGCTGGGCCTGTATAATGCGAGCTGGTGTAGTTTAGGACTGTTTCCTTAGTCTCTGCTACGTGTGCCTATTCCTTTGTAGTCTCTGCTGCTTTTAGTCGGAGGAGAATGCTAGTTCAGATATGCCCACTAGGAAAAAGCTTTTTCTTAGGTTTATAAAACAATATCATTGGCCTTGTTCTCAGTGCTAAATCTACTGGGTGCCAACATGAATTCCCCCATCGGCCAACATATTTGCGCCCGAGACGAAGCTGGCCAGAGGTCTCATTAGGAATACTGCCACAGCTGCTACCTCTGTCGGCCCTCTTTTCGGCCGCTGTTCCCCCACCCATTCCGGATTACTCTTTGAATAGAGATCCCAGGGACCTCCTTTGCACAGGATCGGTCCCGGCGAGATGGCATTGACCCGGATCCTCTTTGGCCCTAAAAAGTGGGAAAGTTCCTAGACATGCTGCAGCTGCGCTGCCTTGCAGGGCCCGTAGGCCGCTTGGAGGGAGACCGGTAGAATTCACGTCCCATGAATGAGCTCTGCACGATGATGGATGCCTCCGAGGACTTTTCCAAGTAGGACGTGGCTGCCCTGACCACCTCGACAAAGCCCATGACATCGATCGCAAAACTGCTCTCCCAGTGTTCTGTCTCACCTTCCATATGCATCGGCGATGGTGTGGCCGGTCAGTGTGCATTCTAACCAGAGGATTCCGGAGATATCAATTACCATTGGCGATAATCACATCAATACGTCCGAGTCGCTCGGCGGAGCTCTCGACCCACTGGACGATAGCGTCTTTGCTAGCAACATCGAATGCCGTGCCCACGGTGCGGGCGGTATTCCCTTCAGGGAGCGTCGAGTAGAACCCAGCAAACTCGGTGTTGGTGACGGTCCGGGCACAGTAGGATACATTGGCTTCCTCCTGGAGGAATTTATGCACCATTGCCTCTCCCATACCCCGTGTGTCTCCTAGTAGCCGCGTAGTCGGACGCAGGTTGATGAAGTCTTTTCTTATTTTTCTTACCTGTGATAAGCACATGGGCGCCTTTGAGACCAGTCGCGAGCACCATGGCAATGAATTTGGAATTTGGAATTGGAATGTGGACGAAACAAAGCGATTTGAAAAGGCAAAATAGGTTCCGGGGCAGGCTGAAAATACCCATTGGCTCTCAGACCCTAAAGCTACACTAGGCCATCTACCTTAGCATTCTCCGGGCCACAAGTAGGATGTTCAGAACACTTACCCGATTTGGACTGTCTTTGACACTCCGTAACTCCTTTAGGAAACCACATATATCTAGATTCGGCGGCGATGGTATAGGCGATGGGCTATTGTATATATTCCTTTTGCGCCCGTATATTTCTACTCTTTCTAGCCCGTAACGTAATTCACCCATAGTGAAGGGGTTGTGATAGCTTTGCAGTGTGCTTCCTATCTCCATAATGGTAGATAATTATCATTCGTCGCTGGACGGGGTAGAGACACTTATCCAGTCCGATGGCTCTGTGCAGAAGTCTGAGTTGGCTGAAACTGACGGACCATCGTCGACACCGTACCAGATTGCAGCAGCAGCGAAATCAATTGCAGAAAGTGTTCGAAACTTCCTTGAAATACGCCAGGCCGACATTCCAAATGACACCGGGGTGGTATTTGACAACATATCGGCCGTGGGAAGCGGAACCGGAGTGAGTACTGCCGATTCTAATTGAGATACTTCACAAGTAGCCCACGGAATTAACGCTTGGTAGTCGCAAGATGCACCCACTGTCTCGTCGGCGGCTCAATCAGCCTTTGGGCTATTGAGTCCTCTGCAAAATAGACAAAGAAGACAGTATTCTCGACCCATTCTGAGCAGGTTCTCAGGCACGATCGACCCCGGAGAAATATTGTTGGTATTAGGTAGACCGGGGAGTGGGTGTACAACCTTCCTGAAGACATTGTCGGGCCTGTGGGATGAGTACAAGGAGATTCAGGGTGAACTCACTCTAGGCGGTCATCCGCTGCCAGATGTGATAACGCAGCGGCCACAGGATATTCTATTCTGCGGTCAGTTCTCGAATTTTGCTGTTGGGCCCTTTGGGGGACACACTGACGCCTCCATCAGCCGAGTCTGATGACCACTTTCCTACGTTGACCGTGGCGGAGACCCTGCATTTCGCGACCAGAGCGCGCTGCGGTCCCAATGTCTCGGCCCATGAGATTGACACGATGGTTACCCAGCTGGCCAGGCTAGTTGGTCTTGAGAATGTTCTGAATACCAAGGTGGGAGATGCGAAGATTCGAGGAGTCAGCGGCGGAGAGCGACGGCGGGTGTCTCTGGCGGAGGCCCTGGCCACCTGTGCCCGGTAAGTGGTTTCTTCTTCTCATTAAGGTACTAATGGTGATGCACCGACTCATACATCCTCACAGGCTGATCTGCCTGGATAATCCAACACAAGGACTGGACTCATCCACGGCGGTCGAATTTATGGAGATGATGCGCGAGTGGACGACACAAAGCCGATGTGTGACAGTGATGAGCGTGTACCAAGCCAGTGATACGATTGTCTCCTACTTTGACAAAGTTCTGGTGATCAATTCAGGTCGCCAGATCTTTTATGGACCTGTCCACGAGGCAAAGGCATATTTTGAAGATCTAGGCTTCGAGTGCTTATCGACCACCACGGTTGCCGACTTCCTCAATGTGATGTCCGCTGATCCAGACGTGCGACGAGCTCAGGAAAACAGAGAAAGCCAGGTCCCACGAACAGCGGAAGAGTTTGAGCATGCGTTTAGTGGGAGTCGCATCTACCAGGAAATGCAAGTCTCAGTTCAGGTGGCCAAGGAGCGATCCCAAGCTCGCCCCAGTCCCCTCCTTAAAGCATCAGCCTTTGCCCTCCCCGTATGGCATCAGATTTGGTACTGTGCCAGCCGCCAATTTCGTATCGCCACCAGTGATTATAGCTTGTGGGCGGTGGAGCTGACCACCATCGTCGTCCAAAGTCTGGTGTTGGGCACGCTGTTCCGAAACCAGCAGCGAACCACCAATTCCCTGTTCATTTTCGCGTCAGCCTTGTTCTACTCGGTCCTGGTGCCGGCCCTGCAGTCCATGGCGGAATTTGGCAATGGATTCGCTCAGCGACCGCTCATTCTGAAACAGAAGCGATACCAGATATCACGCCCGATTGCCTACGCGATCGGCTTGGTCACCACAGATGTTGTGTGGAAGGTGGCGGCAATCTGCTATAATATCCCCTTATACTTTCTGACTGGATTCCAAAGGACGCCCGGGAATTTCTTCACTTGGTTCTTGATCATCTATTTGGAACATCTCGCCCTGTCGATGTTCTTTCGCTCCGTCGCCATCTTTTCTCCCAACATGCATCGGGCCGTACTCCCGGTGGGCATCTTCTTTAATATGTATGTCCTTTACACGGGGCTCTACATTCCCGCGCCACAGATGCAAGTATGGCTCGGGTGGTTGCGATATCTAAATGTCAGTACAGACCGTATCATGGGGGTTTGACAAATGATGCTAACATATCACAGCCCCTATATTATGCATTTGAATCAGTGATGGTGAATGAATTTGGAGACATGAGCTACCAGTGCAGTGCCTCGGATCTGGCCCCATCGGGGCCAGGATATACGGACATAGCCCATCAGGTCTGTGCCGTAGTGGGATCGCAACCTGGGGATAGTCTCCTATCTGGGGCGTCATACATTCACGCCCAGTACGGGTTCAAAACCTCCCACCTCTGGCACAATGTAGGGATCAATGCGGCCCTATTCATATTCTTTGCCCTTTGCTCTGGGTAAGTCGCCAGGCGCCGAAGCCCGGTTCTTAGGGAACCTCTGGACTGACACAGAATTTTGAACAGGATCGGGATGGAGATGCTGAAGACACCCGCAGGTCAACTGGCCACCATTTTCTACAAGAGCAGCCCACAAGGAACACACCGCCGTGAGAAAGTCGATAGCGAAACTGGACCAGTCCACGGGAATGAAAGCTTGGAGATATCGGCTGGCCAAAGCAACAACGAACATCGGTTATACGAACATCCGGACCCCGACAAGAGCCACAATCTTGCATGGACTAATCTTTGTCTCGACATTAAAACCAAGGAGGGGGATCAACGTCTACTAAACAATCTGAGCGGCTCGGTTAAGAGTGGACAACTCAAGGCGCTAATGGGGGTTTCCGGTGCCGGGAAGACAACCCTGCTGAATGCACTCGCCGGACGTTCCTCTATCGGGACTCTCACAGGAATGTTAGCACTCAACGGTCAAGTGCTGCCCACGTTCTTCCGAGGTCGAATGGGATACGTGCAACAGCAAGACATTCATCTTCCCACTCAAACGGTGCGTGAGGCATTGCAAATGACGGCACGACTTCGACGCCCAGAGTCCATCCCCGTGGCAGACAAAAATGCCTACGTCGAAAAGGTGATCGAGTGGTTGAATATGGAGCATATTGCGGACGCTCTGGTTGGTGTCCCGGGGGCCGGTCTCAATCTCGAACAGCGGAAGAAAGTCAGTATTGGCGTGGAGATGGCATCCAAACCAGAGATCCTCTTTTTGGATGAACCGACCTCGGGTCTCGATGGACAATCCGCCATTTTAATCGCTCGATTGCTTCGTCGTCTAGCGAACTCGGGCCATGCCATCCTGTGCACGATTCATCAACCGGCAGCCGAGCTCATCGACCAGTTTGATACGCTTTATCTACTGAGCCGCGGAGGAAACTTAGTCTATGATGGCCCCCTGGGAACACGCTGCCACAAGGCAATTCAGTACTTTCAACCACGTAGTCGCCCCTGCGGTCCGGAAGAGAACCCGGCAGAGTATTTCCTAGCAGTGATTGGAGCTGGGTCTCGAAACGACGCCCATATCGATTGGGCTAATATCTGGCATGAGAGCCAGCAGGGAAAGGAGCGAGAGAAGGCGGAACAAAGCCTGGTTTCCATCGCAGAACAAGCAACACTGCTAGAGCAACGGTCGTTATATTCGTCACCGTTCCATGTGCAGCTGTGGGTAGTGGTCCAGCGAACGTGGCTCTACTACTGGAGAGAACCGGATTATGTCACGTCAAAGCTCTGGATGAGCGTCGGCAACTCCTTACTCAACTCCCTCACGTACCTGCAGTCCCCCTACACGGAACGGGGGGCGTACAATCGGGTGTTCTCTGCCTTCATGTCACTCATCGTCGGCCCCCCGCTAGGGCTACAGGTGCAACCTCGTTTCGTGACCCTACGGGATATTTTCGTCCAGCGGGAGCGGGAGAGCTTGACCTACCACTGGATGGCCTTTGTCTTATCCGCGTTTATTGTGGAATTGCCCTTCACCTTTCTCAGCTCGCTGGTCTATTGGCTACTGTGGTACTTCCCAGTTGGCTATTTCTATGCCCCCTCACGTGCAGGGTATAGTTTCCTCATGTACGAACTCTTTGGAGTCTTTGCCACCAGTCTGGCTCAGCTTTGCGCATCGTTGCTGCCCAATATCGAGGCAGCCTTTGCCGCCAATGGATTTTTCTTTATGTTCTGCAACACCTTTGCTGGAACACTTTCGCCGAAGCCGGTGACCCCCTCTGGTTGGCGCTGGTTTTACAATATCTCTCCCCTATTCTACCTAGGCGAGGGTGTCACCTTGGATGTGTTGCAAGATTTGCCCATCCGATGCGAGGAGTCGGAGGTTTCAATCTTCTATGCGGTGAATGGCACCAGCTGTGGCCAGTATGCCCAGGAGTTCCTGAAAACCGCCACGGGATATCTACTTAATCCAGAAAGCACGGCGGAGTGTCAATATTGCCGGTATCGCGACGGACAGTCATACGTAAGTAGTTCTGACCAGGAGAGAAGAATTCTAGCGAAAATATCTAGGCTGGAAACTAATCATTTCGTAGTACCAACAATATGGCTATGAATTTGCTCATCGCCATCGCAACATTGGTATTTTCATCGGGTTTATCGCATTCAACTTCACTATGGTACTAGTGATGACCTATCTCACGAAGACACGCCGTCAATGATGGAAGATTCTAGTGTGCCGTGGATCCAGGCTACAGGAGGGGAATTTGTGGGGGTGGTTTACTTATTAGATAGTAGTAGAGTAATAGAACGAAATATAGATCGATAGATAAATTTGAATGAACTGTTTCTCTTCGTATTCTTGTCCTGGTTTTTGATTGAAATAGGCTGTACTCTACGTTCCTATCAACAGACATGGTATGAAGTACATTGCAGCTCCGACCTGCCAATTACCTTTTGAGAGACAGTCCTTTCTCCGCACAGAGCTAAATGGGGAAATTGACGGCATCGAGAGATGAGGAATGACTACCATGATGGGTTCTCTTGGCCAATCTGATTTGGGAAGCTCAACCCCGACTTCTCCATGGAGTAAGTCACAACCCCATCTCATACCAAGGGTTCTCATATTGGTCCTGGACCAACTGATCGCTGGATAGATCTATCTGTAATAAGAGATTATGAAGTATCGTGATTATGAGACCAGCGTTCGAGGGGTTAATGCTATCTCGAAAGGCCTGAGGGATTTGGGGAAACGAGCGAGCGAGCTTTGGAATATCGGTGTTGATTCTACACGAGGGTGACTGCGAGACTCAATAGAAGCCATTTGGCTGTCAATTATATTGCTAGGATGATTTGTTGAGAGATACAGATAAAAAAGCTATACAGGGCTCTGTACAGAAGGACCAATTAGGGTTAGGGTTCAAACCCTAACTCCATGGTAATGAACGGAAGCAACTGCCTCAACACTAACATAGTGAGAGTAACCAGGTTCCCTCGCTAGCATATGTTTGAATGATTGTTATTGGTCTCTGTTAGGCATGGTTATATGATAGGAGCACAAATCATCATTATTTTGAGCTGAGACGCGCTCAAACATAACAATATCGAGGAACCGTTCCATTCGCCTACTGAGTTCATTAAAACTCGACATCCTACCAATACACACAACGGTCCGTATTAGTAGAGTCCAGCTTCACGCGCATCCCATCATCTCCCAGGGAAAGCAGATGAGCTTGTCTATAATAGAGAGGCACATGGGGGTCTCCCTTGGCGTTTGGATTCCCCGTGATAAGGATTCGCACTGAGGGATCAATCTTGCGCTCGAGTAGGAGTCGCTTGGGACTATTGGGCACAAAATCTCCATAAATGGCCTATCGTGATGAAGGGAAGATTATTTGGTCAGTATTGCAATAAACGAAGAACAGAGCAGGATAGCAAATAGCTCCACGTGGTACTCGTTGGTCCCAACACGCCAGACCCATATAGATGGGATGCCACCAGCTCATAGCTAACATCTAGCAAGATCTGTGACGGTAGATGCCGGGCCGCCTCCAAGCTGCTGACATTTAACAGTGCCAGGAATGTATTCGACAAGTCATCCTCGATGACCGGGGTCTTCGTACCCAGCTCCCAGACCGGGCTTTGTACGATGATATGGGCAAACGGGGGCGAATAGCGCTTCCGTAGACCGTCATTTGAATGGTGATCGAACCTCTACCGGCCGAGACGCCCATAACAGTGACGCTTGAGGGATCACCGCCGAACTTCGTGATATGCCGTTGCACCTATTCCAGCGCCAGACGCTCATCACACAGCCCAGCGTTGGGTACTTCTCCTACCGACCGGAACTTCTTGCCTGACAGACATCCAAATGCGCCCAGCTAGTTGACACCAACACAGGCGCGCCGTGTTTCGATCTTCCTTTTCCGCCTCATCGTTTGGAAAGCACCCTTTCTGGGACGTACACATCGACTAACAGGCAATCTTCCAGTTCTAGTGGATTCTGGTCTGCGACGGGCCGCGGTTTGGTGCAGCCATCCTGTCGATAGACCTGGGTCATACGCGGCGGTAAAATTAAAATTAGTGCCCGCGGTCACAGCACTGACAAATTCGCCCTGCACATTGAACCAACGAGCCTGCGACTGGGGACAAATATTACCATGTCCCTTGCCATTACCAACCTCGTGGCTGCCATTGCGTGGGGGGACAGGCAGCGCTAACTGTAAGGGGCCCAGCGGTGGTTTGGTATAGCGGATATCGGAGAATTAGTAATAGTGGCCGGTTGACTAGGAATGTCATTGACCTGATAATCAGAGCGATTTCTAAGCCTTTCATTTTCCTCATAGGTATGAGACTCATGTTGAAGCCAATGGCTTGATGCCGCTGATAGCCCAGGTCCACAATCGCCAACTCAGCTGCTACAGCATTCCCTGATGCGACCAATAGCAGACAGGTCCAATCGATGATTTGCATTGGGAGAATTACGGACAATGAAATCTGCCAAAATTTTATGTATTCCAGTATTTAATATTTCTTTAGTTTGGTACAGTTATATATATGCAATATGCGTTGATGTTAATGTCCTATGCAATACCTTAGTAAAAAAATATAGTAACAGAGAGAAACGGCTAAAGGGGCTCCATATAAATCCCGTTTACGAAGTAGTTTGTTCTGCATTCTAAAGTTATATCCATGGATCATAGCTATCGGTGGAACCTTGGAAATCTTGAAAACGATTAGAAATTGTAGAGTGAATCCATGGATGCATGTGGACCCACTTGATTACCTTTAGAGATGGCCAAAAGGAGATTCGGAGTTGGTCAGATATCAAACTGACAAACATGAATGTCCCAAAGGAGTAATGAATGCATTGTCACTAAAATATCCTCTTTCAGCTCTGCTCACATTTAAATAACCAGCCACGGGGCAATATGGACATCAATACCTTCGCCAAGCTCCTCCAGCGGCTATCCATATTTCTGCCTTCCATTTTAACTTTATTACGACTCCATTGGACAAGTACCTGGATAGCTGACTAAGTGCCGCTCGGTTCGCTTTCCACCATGAGTATAGACGATAATTCGCCAAGTGAGAGCGTGCTCGAAAGTCAACCCCCAGATCGTGTGGATGAATCGGTCCCGATCAAAACCGGGGATGGCGAGAAGGATGTAGTCCCGCGCCGGGACATCACAGGCCTCCGCTGGCTGCTCGTCTGCATTGCCGTTTTCTCTGCCAATCTGCTCTATGGCTTGGACAATACCATTGTAGCAGATATCCAGGGTCCCATTGCAGGAGACTTTGACGAGTACACACGGCTAGGCTGGCTCGGGGTGGGCTTCACCTTGGGATCGGTGGTTTTCATTCTCCCACTGGGCAAAGCTTACGCCATTTTCGATACGAAATGGCTCTTCCTCGGCTGTTTGACCATGTTTGCAGCTGGCAGTGCCCTCTGCGGTGCGGCTCCCAGTATGAATGCCATCATTGTCGGGCGCGTGTGGGCGGGAGCCGGGGGAGCGGGCATGTATCTGGGGTAAGTTGTATTATTCACAGGCAGAACCAGAGAGAGAAACGACTAACCAAGACGATCTAGAAATCTGAATCTGATTACCATCCTGACAACCCCCACGGAGCAGCCCGTGTATGTGGGCCTGGTTGGATTGATCTATGGCACTGGCTGCATTCTGGGTCCCATTATTGGCGGTGCCTTCTCCGATAGTTCGGCCACATGGCGATGGGTACGTGGGATCCCTTTCTTATTTCTCTGGCAGAATACGCTAACCGTAGTGGACAGTCATTTTATCTCAATCTGGTCATCTTTGGAGTCATGTCACCCATCTATGTATTCCTCCTGCCATCCTTGCCACGCCCAGCGGGCGAAGGCCGCAGCTTCATCAAGAAGCTTGTGGAGTTGGACTGGGTAGGCACGGTCTTGTCTGCGGGCATGCATATCTCTATTATCTTGTTCATCGTATTTGGCGGTGTCGAATGGTCCTGGACGGATGGGCGGAATATCGCTCTGTACGTGGTTTCCGCTGTCTGCACCGTTGCCTTCGTGCTCAGCCAGTACTATTGTGTGGGAACCAACAAAGAAAACCGATTGTTCCCCGGTGAGTTCTTGCGGGACCCCACGATGATCCTCCTCTATGTCATAATGGCCTGTGGCGGTGCCTCTCTCTTCGTGGCGGTTTATTATATCCCACTCTACTTCCAGTTTGTCCACGGTGATTCTGGCATAATGTCGGCGGTGCGGTTGTTGCCGTTCGTTTGCTTCTACGTGGCTACCATTTTGCTGTGCGGATATGTCATGCCAAAGACCGGCTTCTTTATCCTCTGGTATCTGGTGAGCGGCATCTTTATGCTCATTGGATCCGTGTTGATGTACACCGTGAAATTGAATACTAGTGCCGCCAACGTCTACGGGTACTCCATCCTGATGGGACTCGGTATGACCACCACACAGGCCGCCTACGCAGTGGGCCCGACCATTGTGACCCCCGACCGGGTGGCCGAGTGCCTCCAATTCATGAATATTGGCCAGGGCCAGAGTCAGCTGCTGGGATTGGCTATTGCAAGTGCCATTTTCCAGACCAAGACCCTCAACGGGCTCACTGCCCTGTTAGGGAATAAGGGATATTCCCAAGTGGACATCCAAGGTGCTGTCGCTGGTGCCCAGAGTACTCTGATGGAGCGGCTGCCCCCGGCCTTGAAGGAATCAGCCCTGAAGGTGATTGTGAGTTCGATCAGTGATGTCTACGTAATGGCGGTTTCGGCGGGTGCCCTCTACGTGGTTGCATCCTGCCTGCTGCCTCGCCGTCGATTCTAGACCCATTCCGGGGAGGAGAAGCAGCAATGGCATTTGGGAATGGGTTCTTTTTCTTGTTCTTTTCGAGCACAAGGTAAGCCTCTGGGCGTGTCCTTCGCTCTTTTTGGTTTATAAATCGTAATATACCTAGCTGGTGGAATAAAAATACACATCTTTAAAACATAGCATAGAACATATATCAGCACCTGACAAATTTCCGCATTTAATACGACAGATGATTGTCATCTACATTTATACTAATGTACCAATATAGTAGTCTCCGGAACTCCGACTCCATATCCCCATCGTACTAATAGAGAGAGGGCCCAAATGATTATATATATCCCATCCTTCTCTCTTTATGTGCTCCCACCTGGCATTATAGAAACAAAGTCTTACTTCGCACATCTATCTATTATC